ACTGACAACCACCATGCTTAGCTCGAATTCCTTCACAGTCTGCTGAATGTGAGGCTACATAAATCTGTGCCTTCAGCGAATATCTCAAGGATGAAGACACAAGCATCTACTCGAGCTTATGTTTTGGTTTCATCAGGAAATTTGTTATTTTAAAACTGTGCTCTGTTGGAGGATGGGGATGGTTGAAAGCACCCAGGCTGGATGAATCTTGCTCTAACCATCTCTGAAGGTGTCTGAGGAAAGTGATGCTTAAGTGACCTTACTGGAAAATCTGTGAATTCTGACCATACCCTCTGAATGTTGCAAGAGAAATGGAGTCTCATCAGCCTCAGTTTCCTATTCTGATATAGCTCATCTTCTTCAATATTCAACATGTTGTGTGTTAAGAGATATAGAATAGAATCTCTAGCAAATGGGCTACAGCAACAGAAGTCCACAGCTAAGAACAGGCAACTGTGGCTACAATTCACACAAGCACACCAAAATTCTGCAATAGAGGACTGAAAAATATTGCCTGGTCTGAGGAGTCTCAATTTCGGATGTAACATTCAAATGGTAGATTCAGAATTTGGCAAAAACAACATGAAAGTATGGATCCATCCTGCCTTGTGTCAACAGTTTAGGTTCTGGTGTTAATAGTTTGAAATGTGTTAACTAACTAACACAGTCTAAGTAACTATTGTTGTGATGTGGTGCTATAAAAATTTTTTTTAATTGAAAATGTAATTCATTTATTGCTGGCCATGTCCACCCCTTTATGAGTACAGTGCACCCATCTTCTGAGGGTTACTTCCATCTATACAGTGAAGAGTTGTCCAACTGGGCACGAGTAAAGTGTAACCAGTGAAGTGGCCAGTGAGTGTAGCTGTCAATTTTTGTGTGTGAAATAAACTGGCTGTTTAAGCTTTTCATGTCTCATTGAAGTCACTGTTGTTTCTTCGTCTTCTGTGCAGAAATGTCACATATATCTTGAAACAAATACGATATAGAACCCGAAGCACATAATGGCAAAGGTGAAACATAATAAATACCTGCTTTGATTTGAATGCATTTACTATTTAAGAAGTTCTGTCAATCTAAAAAAGTTTTCCATGATATCAACAATTTCAGGGATGAAGACGTGCTGTTGACTCCATAGATGACACCACTGACGTAAAGGACAGAAGTCTGATGGCAGGCACCTGCTGTGTCTTTTTTAATAATCACAAAGTGATGCCAACAGTGACACACACACACACACACACACACACACACACACACCACACACACACACACACACACACACACACACACACACACACACACAAAACCACACACTAAACATGAGCATGAGTCTGATCTGGGCAGGCCCCAGCTATCTTTGGCATCTCCTCTATTCTGGTGGTTGCTGTGCCAGTCTGCTCAGGCAGTGATGTCAGCTGATACAAATTGACACCTCTACCAGCTGTTGCCCTGCCTTAATCATGTTAGGATATGTGGCAATTTTTTTTTTACAATGCAAGTTAAGCATTGAGTTTTATGTGCATAATTTAAAGCAGCTCGTTTGCACTTACTGTAACTGATCTAATACGAAGAAGCAGACAGCAAATCTTTCAGTAAAACATTTACTCAAATATTGCCTTACACGTCATGAACATTAACAAATTAATGTGCTCATGTGCTAAATTGACATTTAATTGATACAGAACTGAAAAGCAGATTGTCCTACCAAACTTTGTCTTCTTTCTCTTATTTTCTAATTTTGAATAATTAAATTCAAATTAGATTCAAGGCTCAATGAGAGCTTCTTTCTTATTTGAAAACAGAACAACAACACATATTCATTATCGACCATAATAATAAGATCATGCAAGACGTGCGATATCGGTGCCATGAACTACTAAATGCTGTCTACTACAGTACTATTCAGGTAACTGCTGCAGTTACTACAGACAGCTAGCACAGTCACTACTGCCTGTTATATGGAAATGTAGTGGCACCTACAGGACATTAGCAGACCTATATAGGTCTGCTTTTTATATAGGTAAAGCAGACCTATATTTTAACGCTTGAGGTATGTGTTTAGATCCCAATGAGAGGGTCCTCATAAATAAAGCTCAATAACTACCTTAGCTTTAGCTCGTCTGGCTTACTGTGCTCTATTTAGTTACTGCTCTACGTTACCATCTGTATAGTTTTTGTAAATGCTGTCCTCTAATTGTGCCCTCAGTGCCTTTCTCAATCGTACTTTTTGTTAAGAAGACTCCTCTGCTGCCATCTACTGGTATAAAAAAGATGCTGCAGGCATCATGAGCAACCCACATCACCCTCTGCATGAGTCTGTGAGTGCGCTGAGCAGTCAGAGACTGAGACACCCTTGCTTCAGGAAGGAGCACTCTTGCAGATTATTCATCCCGACAGCAGGTAGACTCTATAACTCCTCAACAATGATGTCATGAGTCACTTGGACACTGTGGACATCCAGTGGATTTCCACGGTCACCACTTCATGCATAATGCACCATATATATGTATGGACATGTGCATGTAAATGTATATACAGAATATATAGATAGATAGATAGATAGATAGATAGATAGATAGATAGATAGATAGATAGATAGATAGATAGATAGATAGATAGATAGATAGATAGATAGATAGATAATAGATGATAGATAGATAGATAGATAGATAGATAGATAGATGTTTAGTGTGTACATGTGTGTATGCATGTACATAGCTATACTTAAAGATACTTACTTACATAGTAATAGTAGTAGAATAGTTCAATTTAAATCTTATCTTATTTTATGACAGAATAGTTAGCAGAAATAGACAATCAGTAAGAAATAAGCAAATCACAAACCCCACAATCCACCTTTTATGGAAATTCATAAGAGAGACCCTAACTCCCTGATTCATAAGCAACATGCTGAGAGACGTATTAGGTGAGCTGAAGGGGAAGCGTGTGCGGCAGGAGTCACAGATGTGTTCAAGGTGGGGATGGGATTACATCATATCAGCCCTCTCTTGTGTGCAATGGTGACTCCTGCATGACCTCATCTGGTCAGGCAGAATAATAATAATAATAATAATGATAAAAGTAATAATAAGAATAATAAGAATAATAAGAATAATAAAAGTAATAATAAAAAGTAATAATAATAATAATAATAATAATAATAATAATAATAATAATAATAATAATAATAATAATAAGGTTTGGGATGTGATCTTATTGGTTCATGCATCAAGGATCATCTAATCTCTGGTAAACATTACATTTTTAATATATCATGTCAATCAAATGCAATTTTTAAAAATCCAATAAAATATCAAATTAATTCAAAACTAAGATACGTACTTATTTTAAATCATAGTTTTCCTGAAATATTTTCTTCGATTTATAAAATTTATATCACATGTTTACTATGTTCTAAACCTGATAGTTTCCTTAATAATCTGAGTATTTATCATATCTATGGATATGTGCAGATATTTTAACTGTGGATTATCCAACAAATAAATGTCATTGTAGAAAAGTACAATGTTTTGAAGTGAATTTAAAAGTCACTATAACAAACGAGCTTGCAGATTTTGGCCTCACTTAAATTTTGTCCAGGAGATGGCAGTCTGTAGATACTTCATGCATGGCAAAAGCAGTATCCAGAGACGGCATTGTGGATAGGCCTGGACAGTAAGAATAGAAAGAACAAGGTTATGTGAGTCATTGGGTTAAATGCTGTTGTTTTCTGCGAGAGTATGTGGTTTGTAGATGGGCTGGTCAGTGCATCAGTCCTTAAAGAGGTTCTAGGAAGTAAAATAAAACATCAGCTTATGCTGTCGTACAGTAGTGACGTACAGCTAAGCCAAGATCAAGTTTTCAAAGAAAAACAAGGGTCATGCAGATGTGAAACATGATGGGATCAGATGGAACAAAATGTGATTTTTTCGTTTCCTCCCCTCAGTGTGTGGACCTTTTCCACACCACAATTTTGGGAAGCCATCCAACAAAACAATTAGCAAGTATGGGAATCCCAGCCCTTCTCTCATACAGTTCCCTCCCTCTCTCCCTCCTCTATCTCTCCTCCTCTCCTGCTCTTTCCCTGCAGCTGGAGCCAGGAGAGAGGCAGCCAAGTTTATTTTCTCCTTGGTGGTCCCTTTGGGGTGGTGGCGAGGCCCCCGCCGTACTCCTGCTGATGTATTAGGTGAGGGTCCTTTAAGAGATGTCGGTGGGACTCTTTTATTACTGCTGCACTTAATCTTATTGTTCCTATTAAAGGATACTTGTTACTATTCTTATTTTTCTTCTTCCTCTTCTTCTATTTAAGTAACAACTGTGTGTGATTAAACTCACCTACATCCCTGCTGCTAGTTTGAAATGGGAAGTCCTAATCATTAAAGACGATAGTGTAAAAATCAAGGAAACTGAGAATACACCCAGGGGTTAATGGAAGCTTCATTTGGCAATATTTTATAAAATTATTATTTTCCAAATTCACTCATAAAAAAGATGAGCAAAATACAAAAAAATGACTGACTGGATTGACTTCATGTTTTTTTGCCTTGCTCTTTTGCTCCCTGATGTAGTATTCAGATCCTTCTCAGATCTTTGTTTTGTCTTAAAACAACTCACAATATCCTAAATGAAAACTCTCAAACTGACTCAAACTGAGAGTTTTTAAATGGAAATGTCCATTTAAAAACATAAGAGTTCAGAGCATTTCACTGAAAGGCTCTGATGAGACATTATGAGCTCACTGGCTGATTCTCACAGCGCTCTGGAGACATAAATAAATAAGTAAAAGAAAACAAAA